ATTTAACCCATTTTGTACCCTATAGGTTTTAGAAATTGGAGCCTTGAAATGTTCCTGTGTGGCAGGAACACTTATCAGCCACGATGTTTACTTATGTACTTTGAGATGGGAAACATTTTCAGGAAGCTCAGTGATCTCACAGATCCTTCTTCCAAACATGGCTCTCCCTCAACCTGGAAATAGCAGTAGACAATCAATGATTTAGGCTACTATTAATGATTTAAGGCTACTTCTGACCAGTCCAAGTGCTTCTCTAATCCATGCTTGTTTTAAATTATAATAGTGTCTACTTGCACTGCTAGAATAGCTAAAAATATCAGTGATATCAAGCCATGCCATGTTCCATGTAACCTCCTCCTCCTGCAGCCTGCGATTCTCCAGTTCTGCCATTAAGCAAGCTCAGCCTTCCTGGTTCCAGCTGCAGCACTCTGTACAAGGCAAGTGTAAATACAAATCCTGCTCACACTTTATCTAGAAATCCAACACGTCTGATTTCCAACCATGCCACAAATGGCTGTCATTTTGGATACCAACTGACACACAGCACATCTGAGCATGTTTTCTGACAAAATGTTTCGTTATTATTATTTGCTGTAGTCACTCTTTTGTATTCTGAAGCACGACCACAGAAAACTTCCCAAAAAGCTAATGAAAACAAACAGCCTAAGTCCACGTGAGCAACACTGACCTCCCCTGCCATGTGCTTGGGAGCTTCTGTACTGCTGCCTGATTCGCACATCAAGAATAGATGGCACAGCTCATAGTGCTGCCTTCACCATATCCTTGGAAAAGGCAGAGGCAGCTCCAAGGCGAGCTGCCCTGCAGCCGAGCATCCAGGGGGTAAAAGGAGCCAGCCCAACACGGGCTGGCAATGGGGCAAACTCTTGGCTCTGCACTCTGAAATGCAGACTGGAGATACCAGGCACAGCTGCCCAAATCTGGGATTTTTTCTCCTCATCTTTGCATATTTACATAATGCAAGGAAAGCAGTCTTGACAAAGGTGACAGATAGCAGGAACAGAGCAGTAACTCTGCACTGAGAGAACAGACAGCAATAGAAGGAGGGGGGGAGAGGGAAAGAAAAACCTTGAATTCAAATAGTTTGAAATGATGCAAAGAATAGTGCACTGAATAGGCAGGCTAGAAACTAGTTCAGAGAGCAAAGTACTCTAAAAAAAAATAAATGACTTTAACAAGGTTCTTTCTAATGTTATAAGGAAATACAAATGCTCTTACGGCATTAACCCTGTGGTATTAAAAATGGTTTACCATTAAAATTCTGTCTATATGTTCTACTTTAAATCAAATAGCCACTTCCAGGTTTAAGAAAAACTGGAAGCCTGCTCATCAAAACAAAGGAAAATGTGTGATGTTGGCTGCTGCAGGAAGAATTAAGTGGCTGCTCAGGTGATAAAAGCAGCACCTACCAACCAAAAGAACTGTCAGTATTTTTTTTAATCTTTAATTTGAATACATTTAATCTTGTTGTCCAGCTAAAGTTTCCATCTTTCATCACTTGCCAAGACATGGGAATTTCCCTTTCCTTTCTGAGAATCTGATTTGAAATAAGATATCAACTATTCACACTTGAACAGAATTATTCAAGTCTTCCTTGGGAGGAACACTGTCTGCTTAAGGAAATCCTTGTCTTAATAAAGCGAGCAATTACTGCTGAGGCCAGCAACCACCAGGGTTTTTATACCTGCAAGATAATCATAGAATGGCTTAGATTGGAGGAGACCTTAAAGACTATCTACTTCCAAACCCTCTGACATGGATAGGGCTACCATCCACCAGCTCAGGCTGCCCAGGATTCCATCCAACCTGGCCTTGAACTCCGCCAGGGATGGGGCATCCACAGCTTCTCCAGAGAGCCTGTGCCAGGGTCTCACCACTCTCTGAGGAAAGGATTTCTTCCTAACACCTAAGATAAAACCCATCTTTTAGATTATTCCCTTGTCCTATCATTATCAGGCCACGTAGCAAGTCAGTCCCCCTCCTGCTTATAAGTGCCTCTCAAGTACTGGAAGATTGCAATGTCGCCTCCTCAGAGCCTTCTCTTCCAAGCTTAACAAACCCAACTCTCTCAACCTTTCTTTACAGGAGAGGTGCTCCAGTCCTCTGATCATCTTCATAGCCTTCCTCTGGACCTGCTACAACAGTTCCACATCCTTCCTGTACTGAGGGCCCCAGGTTCAGTACTCTAGGTGAGGCCTGAGAAGGGCAGAGTAGAGAGGGATGCTCACCTCCCTCACCCTGCTGGTCGCTGCTCTTTTGATGCAGCCAAGGATACGTTTGGCCTTCCGGGCTGCAAGCACACACTGCTGGCTCAAGTCCAGCTTTTTGTCATCAGGACACTCAAGTCCTTCTCTGCAAGGCTGCTCTCAGCGAGTTCTCCCAGTCTGTTTTCCTATCTCAGATTGCTTCAACCCAAGTGTAACACCTTGCACATTGCCTTGGTTAAAACTCATTAGGTTCTTGCGTGCCCACTTTTTGATTATGTCCAGGTCCCTCTGGATGGCATCTGCCCCCTCTACTGCGTCAACAAATAGGAGAGAGATAAGAAGGCTTTAGTTATGTGTGCATCCTTGAAAGCTGCTGGACTCTGTGTGCAGATATTTTGAACAGTTTCCACCAGTCTGCTGCTCAAAGGGAAACAAGAATATGATCAACTACATAAACATAAAATTGGTCATATACCCAAAACTAGTACTTGTATGTAGACAAACAGCTCTTCCACTTCAAACCTAATTCCAGAAATAAATTTCACTTTATGCATACTAAGTCAAGAGCCTCAGTTATTTTTCTGTACTCTTCTTGTACACATGAGGAACCATATGAAGTCAGCAAGACTCAGCATAGATACCAGACGTGTTCATACAAGACAAATTTAAAAATGGAATCTGAGCCTAAGGATATTTAGACCAGAGAAGAACCAAAAGGCATCAGCCAGCAAATATCATCTGAAAGGAAAGGTAAGTGAGCAATTAGGTTACTTGGTTTATGGTTTCTTGCCTTAAACCAGTAACTGATTACTGCCAGAACATATATTTTCCTTGGTGCTCTATCATAAAAAGTAGATCAAGAGAGCATCAACAAGATCAGGTTCCTATATCCTAATTTGTTGTTTTAAAATCCAATGTACTTAAAAAAAAAAAAAAAAAAAAAAAGCAGAATATAAATTGCAATCCCTGACATTAGTTCTCAGGGATAATTTATTCCAAACATGTGACACAGACACAAATCAATGCCAGCAGAAAAACATTCAAGCGTTACCTAATTGAGCTTGTATTTCCCTCACTGGTACTCCCACCAACTATTGCTGTGAATTACTGTTGTTTAAAAAGATTAACTTCTTGTTCTGGTGGTCTTCCACATGTTTTGCCTGTTCGGAAAAACCCAATCATTGCATTGTCAGGGTTTTATTTAGCCCAGAAGCAGAGAGGTCCATGTGTTCTGCAAGAATTCCTCCAGGCTTACTAAACATTTCATGTTATTTCTGCAACTTAGAAATGAATAGTGCTCATCTTGAATTTGCCTATCCTTAATAGGTGACATAAGAAATAACAGGTGGATGTTCTAGTTACGCTGCTTCAAAGTCATTCCTTCCTCTTGGAAAAGCATATGTTATATGCATAGAAAAATATCAAGTGACACCCATAAAGTAAATTCTGCTCAGACATCAGGCAAGATTCAGGTCATAGGTGCACTGTGCAGGTACTACAAAGAGACGTATGGAGGTCTCAGGGATCAGATCACCCCTTTTTGAGGCTAAATATGCTCAGAAGACCTACCAAAAAAAAGGAAAAGAAAAGAAAAAAGAAGTCTTTTGCATTATCTCTGGTTTGTTTGAAAAATCAGGGTGGAGCAATCCTTCACCTTGAGGAGTCTACATAGCTACACTTACCTGCAACCACGGATGGCAAATGAGGCCATGCCTACCTGTCCCCTCTGCTTTGCTGGGGGCTGGCATGGGTAATGCACAGTGTCACAGACATCCTCAGTGACTTCCAGCATGTAAACCAGGCACACTGCATGCTCCAGAGATTTTTTTAGGGACATCCTCTGCTCTGCAAGCTCCTCTAAGTAACGCACGCGTCAGCAGACTCTCCAACGCTAAAGGGTTTTGTTCTGCTCTTTTCCAAAGCAATGTATTTAAAATACAAGGTGATGCTCATTAATAAGCAATTCTGCCTTCAACACAGGCGCTTCTACATCCACTCACACTCTGCCCTAGGGATTACCATCAGGTCCAGTAACTGCTGTCTATGAGAACTGTTTGTTCTGATGAGCAGTGATAAGACCTGCTCTCCTGCCTTACTTTCACGAAGGGATCAGGCTGTTATCAGGAAAGCACAGGCACGGCTTGCCAGCCCCGGCTCACCCAATTTCAGCACTGTGCATCACCTCCAAGCTTGGCTGTCCAACACCGGGCTGCCAACAGGAACCATCAGAGGACATATTACCTTTCCAGAAGTGCTGCAAGAGGAAGCCATTACACGTAGCCCTGTTTCTTTCTATTTCTGTGCCATTTGAAAATAGATAAGGAGAAAAAAAAAAATGCCCACGGTGCAATTGGAGATTGTACAGCTTTCTATTGAAAATACACCCCGAAACTCGCCCAGAAGAAAGCAGGCATCTGCCACCTTCGGGCAGGAGCTTCCCAGAAGATGCGTTCTGTCAGCTCGCGGCAGCAAGGCGGGCAGGCACGGCGCTCACCTCCCGCTGCAAGGCGCGCCCTGACCCCGCTCAGCCCCTTTGTGCGGCTCAGCGCGCCCACACGGGGCTCCCCGCAGAGAAGCACTTGTCTCAAACCCTCGCAACAACGGAGCCAATCCCGCTCACTCGCGCCGGGATTCCCCTCCGCAGAGCCAAACGGGGCCTGGCAGGCTGGAGGCCGCCCGGCCTGGGCTGAGCTCTGGATTTCGACCCCGGAGGGCCGCGTCCCCGCGGCGACAAACCCGAGGCGGCCGCCTCCCTTCCTACCCCGACCCACGCACCGTGTAGAGCAGGTTGAGGGCGCAGAGGCAGTTCTTGGAGCAGGCGAAGCCGCCGCACACCATCGTGCCACCGCCGGGAGCCTCGCCGCGGGAGCCCGCCGCCGCTCCGCCCCCGCCGCCGGCAGCAGGTGAGCGGGGCCCGGCGCCGCGCCCGCTGGTTGGCCGCTCCCGGGTAAAGGTAAAGAGATGGAAATGACGCGAGGAGCGGGCTGGGAGGCGGCTGCTCTCCTCCGGGGCTGGGCTCTGCCGCCCGCCCACCCACCTCCAGCCGGGCTGACGGGGCTCGCGGGACCGGGGAGGGGGTGGTGGGGAGACGTGCCCTCGCAGCGCCCTCAGAGGGGGCGAAGGGAGGATCTCAGGTACCTGAGGGCGATGGCGGGAGGTCTGGCATCTCCTCAGCCATTTTGTTGTTTGGGAAACTGTGGAGATTCCTCCCTTCCTTTTCCATGTCTACCTTTGGTGGCTTAATTCCTTGTGTAATCAAAAATAATTACTCGGGGATTTGTTTTTCCAGGGCGTTTCAGCATTACAAGCAGTTTGTCTGTATATTTCTTATTAAAATTATTATTGATTTTTTTTTTTATGTACTTTACTTTTTTTTTTTTTTTTTTTTTTTAAAGTTAACCTGTGTGTATTTCCTTCCCTTGACAATTAAATACTTTTTTATTGCAGGTAGTCAAACAGTGATCTGTTTCTATTGCACCCTAGCAGTTTTACCAATGTTCTAATGCTCTTTCCAATGGACTGGAGTGCTGCCACTGCTCACTGGCACTCTCTAAAAGCTTGTGCCTGCTGTAGAATCATAGAATCACTAGAGCTGGAAAAGATCTTCAAGGTCATCTAGTCCAAAAGTCAGCCTATCCTCACCATTCTCAGTGACCATGTCCCTCAGTGCCACATCTACATGGCTCTTGAACATCCCTAGGAAAAGAGACACCCCACCTCCATCAGGCAGCCTGTTCCAATGCATCGCTGCTCTTCCACATGATATTTTTTTTCCTAATATTCAGCCTTAACCTCTCCTGACACAACTAAAAGCCATTACCCCTCATTCTATTGCTGTTACCTGGGAGATGATACCAACCCTTACCTCGATCTCCTTTCAGCAATTATTACGAACTGCTTTGGTGTGTACACCACTGCAAGATTAGGGTCCAAGACATATTCTTATCTTTTTTGGGTTTCACAAGGAGCATAGGGTTCCTCCAGCCAGGATCGCCTTTGATGTTTGTGCTGGTACACAGCACCGCAGTCTCACTCCATCAGGGTTTGGTTCTAGAGAAGTTGCTGGTGGTGGTTGGTTCCTGGTCAGCAGTGGAAGCTGCATCTCCTTTCTGGTGAAGTCACAGCAATTCTTAATAGGAACTTGTCATCAGAACAATTTAAGAAGGAAATTCTAAAAACATTTTGTTCTTTGTAATTTGGCTGGCAGCCGTCTGCTAAGGAAAGCCACAGCAAGCTATCGGTCCCTGCCAGCAGTGAGACAGAGAGGCTGAACAGCAGCAGCCTTTGTCTTTCCTGGGCTGTCACTCAGATCTTTTTTGGAAACATCTTTTTTCCCATGCTCTTTGATATTTTGCCAGACTTCTGCAATTAAATAAAATACTTTTTTTTTTTTTTTTTTTTTTTTTTTTTTTTTTTTTTCTTTTTCCCCCCTCATGCATTGATGAAGACTGGTGGCTCTTTTGCTGATGTACATCTATCTCTCAGCTGCTAGCCAGGCAACAAATTAAAAATTCTCCGATGTTTGTGACCACAAATTAAATCTGAATGTGCAACAGCTGCTGAAGCTTTCTGTCTGTTTCTAAACTTGTCAGATACAGATACAGATACACAACAGCCCGTCTCTGCTGCTGGAGCTTTGCAAGGTGACGGGTTAAGTGAAAAATACTTTGTGTTTTCTTTTTCCCTTGCTAATTAAGCTGCTTTGATTTTGAAGGCAATTGGGCTTACTGAGGATACACATTTACTGACTTGAGTTACTGGCCTTATTGGGCTACCATTCTGTTCTTTTGGGCCCAAACTCGGCAGAAGGCAAAGGAGATAGAAAATCACTTTCTCAGATGCAGTTTCCTTTTAATTTTGTTGCAAAGACCAATTTCAGAAATGGTTTGTTGCCTTCTCAATAGGAAACAGTACCTCGAACGTATACCCTTTCCTAAACACAAGAAGTCATCAGCCTATCAAATGTTTTTGTTGGGTTTTGTTGCAAATACTCAGGTATAAAGTTACTGTACCATTGTTCCTTTTGTTATCGGGCTGAATTATTCAATACTATCAGCCACTGCCCTTCTTCTAAGAAGAACTCTTTCCCCATTAATTATTAAAAGATGCACCTCCATGTTGTTAATTAATGCCAGTATTTCTTACTAAGGGACACAGCTCTTACAGTACTGCCTAGTACAAGATTACTTCTTCAGATCCAAGTAGGCATCCAGCCATATCCTCTGCAGCTTGTTTTGTACCCACTTGGGGCAGTTATAAAATCTGCAGGGCATATCACATCTGGTACAGGTCATCACAGGCTTCAATTAAGTAAATAGAGCTGTGAAAATGAATGTAGCCCGGGCCTGGGTTTTTTCCTCCCTTCACCTCTCTGGTTCTGTTCACAAGTTATAGAACAAACTTGGAACAGCATGCTTAGATTTAGCATACAACTTGCTGTTCCATCACTGAGCGGTGCTAAGTGCTGTCACTTCTGGTGGTGGTCAGAAGTACATCAGTACTGCTGCTCCTATTAGGCTGAAACTTTGTTTGCATTCTGGCTCTGGCCAGAACTAGACTGTCTTAATTTTTTTTAAATGGATAATTTCACATTGTTAGTTTCAAAAGGGCTCTTCTGCAGCTGAGGAAGAATCTTTCCTTTGTAGAAAACTTCTACTTGATTTTTATCTTTTTAAAGCTTAGTATTTAAACAGCTGCTCCAAATGAGGACTCTGAGTATTTGTCTCTCCAGCCTTTTTCTCTATAGGGGACAAATATTGCACTCCAATGCTACAATAATCCAGAGCTGCCTGAAACAAGCAAGAGCAGAGTTCGTCCTTTCCTGCTCTTCCCCCACGTTTCTGATGCCTATTCTCCACTTCCTTGCACTCTCTTTGTTCTCCTGCCCTTCTTTGCTGCCTTTCAATGCCACTGGCAACAGGAGGAGCGACAAGCAGTGTGAATTGGCTGTTCTTTCATGGGAAACTGCAATAGGGGATTGTGCACCACACACTTGCGATGCTGCAATCCTCACAGATGGGACAAAAAGTAGTGCTCCCGGAGAGAGGGGGGAGGGATTCTGCAGTGCTACCAGGGCTCGATGCCAGCACACTTCTTGCAGTTCAGCAGAGCTTCAAACAGAGATGCTTTGGTAGTTCACTGTCTGTTTCTATTACAGACTGTGGTAATTCCAGGGAGGCTTTCTGCTTGGGGCCTTCTGCGGAAACTCAGTGAGAACTGAGCCCTTAGGGAAAAACCCTTTCTGTTTCTACTGCAATCCCATGTTCTTGTTACTGCTTTATTTTATTTACTATGTGCGTGAAATCTTAAGATCTGTGTCACTTCTGAGGTACACATATGAAATGCAGAGGCACAAGAGTGTCTTAAAGTACATACCATTGACTTAAAACACGGTGACCCTTTCTCTTGCTCCCTGCTATTACGGAGCACCTAAAACATTACAAGTGAAACATTGTTTGCAGAAATTGATTTTTATCGCTTTATTTTCCCCAGGTTTACAATGAGTACTTGACAGCACTCTGAGTGGTTCCTTTCTTTCTTTGTCTCGCAGTCATTTTTCTTCCCCTGTTGTTTGTATAAAGTCTCTCATGCACATCAAAACCAGGGAGGGGAAAAGCTGGGTAAAGTGAGCCAGGTGTTTGCTGGAGTAGGAATGTCACATGTGATATCTGTACCGTAATTAGTATCAGTTAGCATTCAGTTTGACTTTCTCTTCTAAAATGTGTAAACAAAGGGCCAGCGATAGTAGGAAAAAAGCACATAGAAAACACATAGTGAGTCTAAATGATATCAGTTGTGCTGCAAGACAATCAGGCTTGTTAAAAACCATTGCTAATTCCACTGGGATTTTTAAGGAACATGAAATGCCCCTTGAGCAATTTTTTTCTTTTTTTTTTCCACTGTGTTTGCCAAAGTATTTCTGTTTGCTTTGTTGTGTGGTTTCTTCTTGTTTTATTTTTATTTGTTCAGCCTAACATCAGTTTTGGGGTTCCTTTAAGGGACTACAGGATGACTGCAGCTGATAATGTTACAAACAGTAATGTCACATTTGTCAACATGATGATGCAGTATCTTGAAAATTTCCCATATTCCTTTCATACACACAAAGTGGTTCCATAGGATTGTTTTTAAGGCTTTCTGCATCAGCCCCAAGAGGAAGCCAAGCATCTGCAGTCTAAGTTGTATTCCTAATATTTACTGTATGCAGCTGGTATCTTGAATTGTTAGTTTTAAGGTGCACACACGATCAAGGGGATGAGCTTCCAGCTAGCTTATCATGGGATATGCAAAGGGCTTATCCTGCCTTGGCAGCTGGCCATGACAGCACGTCCCTATGCTTGGCACATAACTGTAGTTTGTGGGTAAGTGGCGCCTGTGCTATGGTCAACAAAAGCCTGCAAAGGAAAATGATGTGTATAATCTGTGTGAGTTCAATTGTGCCTCACCATGGAAAGCAGCAGGTCCCTGTGCCTGGCCATTTCTCATCACTGTTAAAGGATATTTGAGTCATCTTGGTCACCTGAACCACCTCAATTATTCAGTCACGTCAATTAGTCACCTAGGTTTCCAGTAAAGCAGCAGGAAGAGTATATGGAATCAATAAAGCATGCACTTAAAATGTTGTCTGCAGCAAAACAATTCTAAAGAGCTGAATCCAGTGCCAGTGTCCGGTGTCCACATCCTAGATATTTACTGTATTGTTTTGCAAGGAATTCACTGTACCACAATAGGCATTGGCATGCAGTCGTGGGTTTCTTCCTGGAATAAAACCAGTTTCCTGGCAGTACTACAGTACTTATGCCATTCCACCCCAACCTCAAGGCAGCCCTTTCTGGCACCAAGCAGGGAAGGACCACATAGGCAAGGCTTACATGTTGGAGGAACCTTTGCTGTACTGGGAATGCCAGGCACAGACACACAAGGTGTTGCAGAGGTGCTGGCAGTGATGGGCATTACAAGCCATAGGCAAGGGAAGCTCAAATCTAGCATATAAAATGAAATAGCTTTTTGGAATGGAAAATTCTTCTCTGAAGATAAAAAGCTCTTTGGGACCCTTATTTATTTATTTTTAGTGAAACACTGTAGATGGAGAAAGGGAAATTAGGACAGGAAAATATGCCACTGTAGTACGGTGGTTAGAGCAACCCACAACTAGGTCAGAAATCAGCTCCTCCTAAAGCACAGAGATGTAGCAGGTACTGGGTTTAGTAATTCTGGCAAGCGGTTACAAATGACAAACAATGAAATAACAGTTCAGTCTCCTTCGACTGACAGATGCTAGGTGTATTCTTCGAGAAACTTTCTGACCAAAATCACAATGGCACAAAGCTCTTGAGTTAAGCCTGGACAGTTAAATCACTGTTAGAAAGCTCCTTAGACTGGAATCTTTTTGCAAGAGAAACAGTGACAGGCAGGCATGAAGCCATTGTATGGGACTGAGCCGCTGGGTGTCCACTCGCTGTCTAAGCCTTTCTTTAAAATTCCCTGATCTGCCATGCAGTGGGTGAAAACAACATTTGAGTGTAACGATAGCACGTCTGCTTGTTAATTCAGCTGATACCCATTTCTTTTGAATTGTCCCATGAATGGAGCTTTCCAGACAAAAGATAGACTTGGTGAAGTTTGTCCCTGTTATGCTTCTAGACAGGTGAGATTTGAAGGAAAGGAAAAAAGAAAGAAAGGAATAACTCCAGGACTCTGATTTTAAAGGGAAAGTGTGTTTCAGAGGTCAGCCTTCTGAAAGTATTAAAAGAGGCAAATACTCATTTAATGGATTTATAAACAGTCCTTGGGATTTTCTGAAGCTCTTATCTTAATTGTAAGAATTGCCATTTTCTGCACATTTAAAATTCTTTCTGAATTAAGATGATAGAGGATTAGGATAAGGATAGTTTGTTACTGCTAATGTATTAAAGAAACAAGTAACCGGAGGCTGAAAATAGAGGTGTAACGGCATTAGGAATAGTAACACTTCAAAGGCATGAATAAGCTCATTCCTTCTGTCTGATGTCAGAATTCAGGGACATCCCAGAACAGGCTGATCTCACTTCAGTGGGGAAGGAAAAAAGGTAGAATTCTACACACAGGCAGCTGAATGCTCTAATGCCTCCTGCAGCCAAATCAGAAATTTCTTATGCCCTTAAGCATAAGGTATTTGTGCACCTCTCTGCAGGTGCAGGCTTGCTGCAGAGGCTCCCTCTTGGAGACAGTGCTCTTTGTGCTCAGCACCAGCAGGAGGTGGGGGGAATCATTGGGAACAGCGTGGTGTGCTGGCACCAGATCCCTGTGACATTTTGTTCTTCAGGTTGGAGATAAAACCAGCAAACTTCGTTGATAAACATAAGACAAGACCACCAAGGTTAATGAGACAAGTGATTGCCTAGGACTAACAGTAGGGTGGAAGCAGTGGGGAGTATAAGCAGTTTCAAATTAATTGCAGTTTTTATTGGTTTTATGTTGCGTCTGCTGCAGGTTCTCATAATCATCACATCCTAAAGATCTTCACTTTATCCGGTTCAGGTGGAAAACATGACCACTTGATTTGGTTTGAAGAGGAAAATGAGTACCATGCACTGTGTGCCTTCACAGGTGATTCCCTGGGAGCATTCCCAGAAAGCTTCAAGTAATCAAACATCATACGCTAAGGAGCAGAAATCTAAAATGTTTTTGGGGAAATGAAAAAGCAGGAAGGCCCGAGCAAAAGGTTTTGTGCTACATGAACAGATGGATGGGGAGAAAAGCTTTGCATCTCAAATGAAAATTCCAGCATATACACTTGATGTGAGCTGTGTAAGTGCTTGTCACTGGGTCTGCCTGTTGGCTGTGTCCCTGACCATGCTTGTTGCTGTGCCTGCCACAAAACCATGAGAAATAGCAGTTGGAAAGGACCCCATAGGTCGTCACATTCAAACTGCTGCTCAAAGTAGGGATAACTCTTAAGATGAAACACTGTGACAGGCCTTCTCTAGGCCAGGGTCACAACTTAAAGGTGTAGACAATAAAAAAAACCAAATTGAATGCTTAGTCTAAGAAATGTATGTATTTGGTTTTGGGAAAAAAAAGCAGCCATTGCACTTCAGCTTCACTTCATTCTTTCAGCTGCTCTGCGTCATGCTCCAGATAAGCAAGTTCATTCCAAAACACACCCAACTGATTTTTAATTTCTCAAGGGCACAAGCTGCCAATGAATGCTGCGTTTTTCCCGAGCACAAGGCCATTTGCTCAATAATATTCAGTGAATATATGTTTTGTTTTTCTTTATTCAGGGTCATAACAAGCTGAGAAATACTAGAAAGGGAGAAGGCAGGCAATGCACAGGAAGATGTGCAGCCCTATATACATCATGCATTCAGAAGGCAGAGCAGCCCTTTTTTTTTTTTTCCCTATGCCTTTATGTGCTGATATTTTCTTTGACTTTCTGCTCATCGCATGTGAGAGAATGGAGTTGCTTGGCCCAAACAGCAATCACCAGATGAAAGAAATTCACAGAGAGAGTAGAAAGACTGAATGAGAAATCATACTGTACCCGTGTTCTGTTTTCTTTGTGATTTCTGCAAGGCACAGTCAACATGCTCACCCGGCTCCATTACCTTGGTTTACTTACATTAAAGTTACTGCTCTCACACTGTGATGACGTGAGAATCTCTCAGAAACAGGAAAAAAACAGCATAGTTGTGAACAAAATCTTGAAAATATGAGCAGCAAATGGCTCAGAATTCAGAAGGTAAATTTAAAGAATTCAATTTCCTTCATAACATCAGTCTTAAGCTAGTAACATTACTCATTTAGACACTTGATGTACATTTTGAAGCAATTAGTACAGTAATAAATACTTGGTCTCTGCCCCTTGCAGTTCATCTTTCTTTAAAATACCTCCTTAATAGAGCCACTGAGCTTCTTTTCTTGCAAAGAGGAGCTGCTAATAAGCTGAACACAGTACTTTTAAGTATGCATAAGGAGCATATAGAAAAAAGCAACGGCTGTTTCCTCTTGTTAGCCAAACAATCTGCTGCTGCCAGCCAGTTCTGCTTAATATCCACCATCATCTGTGCGCAAGCTGGGAAGCGGTTCCATCATCTGGCCTTCTCTCATGAAAGTACTGAATGAGTATCTGGCTCTTATAGACACACGGTAACAAGAGTGCTCAGTATGGTCATCTGTTAGCACAGCTTTCAGTGGTCTTCTTGCAAGCAGATGAGGTTAATAGTGTGCTAAGTGCCTAGAAACTACCAAAGAGAAGAAAACACCTCTTACAATTTGCTACTTGGAGCATCCGCTGACACCCAGAGTTTGTGGATGAAACTGCAAGGTCTTGCACTTACTTCATACTCACTTCTTCACTGTTGAGATGCTTCTCAGTAGTGTACAATATGTACCTCTGCACATTACAGGCTAACATAGCAGGGAAAGACAGCTGCTGAGCAGTGAGTCAGCATAATTAGAGGTTCAGTAACTTCCCCCAAACTGGAAGGAGTTTCTGCATCCTGGAGGAATACATGGTTTCCCATCATTCCCATTTCATGGGGTAGAATAAGTATCCTTGAGAATTCCAGGATATCTCTATGTTTCTGATACTGTAAGTGATTTCTTGAGAGAGCAGCAAGCATGAATTTTATCATACAAACAAAATCACATTTAAATGTAACCTACAGCACAGTTCAGACCCTCCCGTTGTTGGAGACCTTCAACTGGAAGGCTGTTCCTCTGCTGTCACTCTGTTCTTCGTGTCTGTGGTGCTTCTGTGCTTTCCCTGAGTTTACTTTTAGAGAAACTGAATTTGTCCTTCACGATTCTTCCCTTGACACGGGACAAAGCTGTACTTTTTTTTCCCTCTGAGGATTAGTATTCCCAAGAAGGCCAGGCTTTTCCTCTGTGCCTTTTTCATGTTCAAAGTCAGTTGTTTTGCAGCATCAGCACCACCCTGTGTTCCTTTTCAGTCAGTAGCCTGAAAGCTGTCAGTGGATACAGATCTCTTCTGGGCTCTGTGGAAACCATCTGCATTCTGGGCTCACAGAAGCAGTTGCTGCAGCACTTCTTTATTAGAGAAATTCACACACCTTTGATTTATCCATGCTGATCTTTCTTGCTCATGTCTGATTCTTGCCTTTCCTCTGTTCTATTTAAATTTAGAAGTGTACAAAGCTGATTTTGAACCCAGGCAGAGAATAAACAAGTGCTGTTTGCTTTTCTAGGCTTTCAGGGGAGGACTGTGTTATTTAGGTTTAAATGAATCACTCAGGCTTGTGCCAGTAACATTTGATCTGTATTTTGCCCTTAGAACTCTTCAGCTAAAGGAGCACCATCAGCTGCTGTTTCAGGATGGATTCTCTAAAGAAAAAAGATTTCAGGTACAGTGACAGCCACCAAGTCATCACATAGATACAATGACACATGTTACATAAATCACTTACAAAAATAATAGAACTACCCACACAAACAAAGCTAAGGAAACATGTAAGGGAAACTGAATCTGAATATGGACAAAAGAAGTTGAAAGCTGAAACAAAAGGAAATAAACAGAGATAAAGTTACTGTAACAGGACTCTGTGGCGTGACTATAAAAGCAGCATGTGAGTGAACCTATGTGGTGAAGAAGGGACAGCCCATGACCTCGATTTACACAGCTATTTCAAATTATTTCTGTTCTTCTTTCTGTGTCCTATGCTGCTCTCAGGAGTAACGCTGGGTGCTCCTCTCTCTCACTTGGCAGTGCTTCCCGGAGTTGACTTTTCCCTTGAGAAGACACAGCCCCATTTGGGATCTCTAGAGGCTGCATCCATACAAATCTGATCACTGAGGGTATTTTTGTGTTTGACACAGATTTTCCAAGCAAGGGACAAAGTGTGCCAACAGATGTGGTCCATGTGCACAGCTTCCCCTGGGCCCTGCCAGGGGCTGTGTGCATGCTACAGGGACACCAAGGGGAGGCCAAGGCAGTGCTCCTGCCTCAGTCCTCCCAGCAGCTGGCAGAGCCAGAACCTGGGCTGAGGGACAACATGCTCCAAGTCTTTTTGGAAATGTGGGCCAACCTGTAAGGGTGAGTTACAAGAGTTACCATAGGTGAGAAGTGATCTGACTGGGGGCAAAGGATGGTTCATATTTGATTTGTTCTTCTATGGTTGATCTTATTTTATTTTGTTTGAAGGGACAGAGGCCGTATCCTTGGATACATCAACATTACTGCTTCATAATTCTTTCTGCTAAAATGTATGGTTGTCAGCATTATGCAAATATCTCAGCAATAATTAGTAATGATATGGAGAAAATTATGTTAGCCTGTCAGAAAGCTTCATTAGGGAAAAATAAATAGAAACATCTCAGGCAGCTGATATACTGAAGGAGTGCAACACAAATGTATATTATCACTACAAAGTAGGCATGGTGTTGTCATTTACTTGTTCTGGGTTGTTTTAATTTGATTTATTTTTGTATATGCTCAAAAATCAGAGAATGTCAGAGAAATAAACCAGGTTTATTTTTCCCGCAGCAGATCCTCTGTTTGCAGTTTCTTTGCAGCCCCATAGGCTGAATTGTTCCAGGTGGTATGAAAGCAATTTCTCAAGTCCTGTAATGCCACCAATTGAAGTGCAGGTGCAGAGTGCAGGATGCAGGGGCAGTTGTTAATGTTGAACTGTTAAATGAGATACTTAGGTGGAGGTGAATGAGCTTTTGGCACCCAGAAGCCATGCGAGTGACAGATTCAAATACCAAAATGCTGCTGTCAGCCTACGGTGTGTCAGATCAGTGGCTGCAATGCCAGCCTCTTTCTTCCTGCTGACTGGGAGATGGTGGAGGAATCTGGGGCAGACAGCAGGGCTTCTGCCTAGGTGCAGACACGTCCCATATACTGAATATGGAGTAAGCATTTTTAAGAATTATATATTTTATTTATCTTTCAAAGTAATGTTCAAAAATAGTTCCCCATTTTCAAGTATTTCGACCAGACGATTAATGGTCAGGGCATTAATCAGAAATAAGTTACAATTCAGAGTATCTATTGACTGAACACATGTGACCCTTCACAAATATCTCCTGGGTTCATAAACTGTTAAATATTAACAGTGTAGCAGGCCATTATTTCTATGTATAGCCAGTGGATTAACATGCATTACCTTAATTGCAAGCTCCGCTTTTTTTTTTTTTTAAACAGTACTACCAAGGTGGGGGAGGAGCCCACTCTGTGTAAGGCTGTGGTGCAGTTACACAGAAGCAGATATACTGTATCAATGACTCCCAGATCTCTAAGAAGGGCTTTAACTGAGAAGACCACAAAACTTGACTCATTGAGTGCAGGTAGAATACATTCCCTCTCCTGAAGAGCACTTGTATGCTGGAAGATTGTTTTAAAGCACTACCAATGGCTTTTTGCTTTTGTACCTCAGTATGGTCTCAGAAGAGAGGACCAGGAGAGGGGAATCACCTTCAAACTCAACAATCTCAATTTTAAAGTGCATTCTATTGCAATTTATTGCTGAGTAAAAGAGCTACTTACAATTCCGGTTCCACTGACATTTCAAAATTAAATGCTGTATGTTACGTGAAACACATTTTCTATAAAGTTATTTTCATATTAACTTCAAATTTGAATAATATATTTAATGAGGACTTCTCTAGAATTACTAGACAACTTCTCCCTAGCAGAGAAATACTACCTAAGGTTTGTGTTGAAGAACTGCTTAGCACTGGGATTTTTAAAATTGAGATTTGGACTCTGTGAAGGCTCTTATATAGGGATGCTTCACCTGAGAAGTTGCAGCACCACCTCTGCCCAGATCCTGTTTCAGGCTTTTTGCAAAGCCCAATCATCACACGTATTTGTACTGAAATTCAGCCCGATGGTAGTAGTTCTGTTTGTAGTTGCACTTTCCTAGCTGACATTCCAGCATATGTTCTAAATACAATTTGAAAATACGCAAGTCCACAGCTAAACTTATCTCAGACATTAAGTTGGGAAAACCGCTGAAAAATAGAAATACAGCCCAGAAAAATTACAGCCCAGAAACATATGCTTTGTTGGGGGTGGACAACTGAAAGGAGCTTCCAGTAGCTAAGCTTTAGACATAGACATGAACACTGGAGATAAGGGGTGCTGACACCCGTATGGCTGAGAACTTGACAACTCCATCTGACACAGGCCCTTTCTGACCCCAGTGAAGTCTATGCTGACTGCTAGTGTAGTGCTGCAGATGGCTCCTCCCTCAGCCTGAAACACAGGCCTCAAGATGACCAGTGGTGCCATCCTGGAAGTACCCATTTATCTCTGACCCAATCACAAAGAGATGGAGACAATCACATCCCACAGCTGTGATGGGTGCCTGGCTTCTAGGAACAAAGCTTCAGTGAAGCACACCCTGCTGAGTGCAGTGGAGAACTTTGTCTGTGTCTGCTGTACACTGGAGGCACAGATGCATTCGCAACTAGCCAAACTGCCAGAAAGCAACATTTGCTAGCAATGTTTTTCCTTTCCAGCAGATGGCTCAGGCAGCCTACAGCCAAGCACGTTGCAGCAGCCCATAGTGACCTCACCCACAGGTGTACGTTATTGTGTCCTTTGTGTATTAGTCTAGGTTGGCTCCTTTGAACTGAGCTTAAGTTTCAAATTACATGGAAATGTAATTTTACATACACCCAAGTGAATCTTCGTGCTACCTCTGAAAAGAACACTTCTGAAAGCAAAACATTCCCAGCAATAGCGGCTCTGTCATTAACAAATCAATGCTATCACATTGCAGATGCACTGAAGAGATCATCCCAGGGCAGCAGCGCCTGGCAGATTTATTTTCTGTAATAAAAAAAGACTGAACTGGAAAGCATCCAGTTAATTCATCAATTCTACTTTTAATACGACTGCCCTACTGTCTGCCCAGCACTGCTGCAAGTTACTGGAAAGATCCACATAATGTATTTCCTCTTTCCCAAGTCAATACCTGTACAAAAATATTGTTCTAGATGGAAAGCTGGCATTCAGCAGCACTTCATTTCTGCTTGATGTATGCTGCTTCCTGTAAAACCAGATGCTTATTTAAAGCCACTTGATCTGTGGCTTACTATGTGCTGACTTTTCCCATCAAAAAAAATCTACACTGTTGGATACCTTACTGGTTTCTAATTACAAGACACACCATTTCATTAATTAATTATGCTTTCATGCTCTCCCCCATAAGTACATAAGCCTCCTCTTTGTAGTCCTTACCAATCAATTGCTCATTTATCATAAAGGGAATGACACAGAGCATTTTAAATAACACGTTCCTCAAGAGAAGATGAAGTGGAATGCCGTGATGCAGGCAAAATTCACTGCCCCAGTCATTCTGGGCACAGCAGAGGGAGGAGCAAGGCAGAAGATGCAGAATAACTTGGCCTGTGAAAAGTGAAATGGCAGCATCTGCCATCTGGTGGACTGCTGTATGACAAAAAAAGTGCAAACCAGGAGACTGTGCTACATCACTGCTCAGCTCACATCTGTGAACTCCAGCAGCTCTGATGGAGCATCAGGTGAGCATTCCCTCAGTGTCAGATCTCAAATTCTGGGCTTGAGGCTTGCATATGTGTACAACACTGTGCACTGGCTTTGTGTAAACATCCTAGCCAGGTCCCAGGCACTGGAGTTGTAAATTACATCACATCAAGGCGTAAGGGAATATTAAAGAAAGCAGGATGGATCTCTTGAGAAGTCTATACATTCATTTGCATATTTCAGTCAAACGTCTCATAACCTGTAACATCACACAGGTATAAGTACATCTGATTTTACAGCGTCTTCTAGTCACACACATTTTCAAATTAATGCTTCTAAAATCAGGTGCTTTTTCTCACAAAACTTACCCATCATCAGTACCTGAGTGCAGTCTGTACTGAGAGCACCATAGTATTCTACTTATTTGCATAATTTGTTTTTACAAGCAAAATTAGGACTGCAGAGATTTGTTTCTTTGCACTGCTGCAATTAATTGCAATATCAGCAATTGCTATGGAATCTCACTCATCTGTCCATCGATGCCAATTAACTATTGATGTTGATTTTGTGAATAAGTATGAAAACCATTTCTTAACACTCTCGTAATTTTCACTTGAGGAATTGCAAGAGTTTGGTGAATTTGTAACACACACACCGACACCACAGAACTAAGATATAAAAGCCATTTATTCAAAAAAATGCGGTGGTGTCAAATCACATACACAAGCCAATATTGAGCTACAAACACAGACCAAACAGTTCTATAAACAGAAACTGGAGTGTTCATTACCATAGTACCTGAAAAAGACCGTTAATAAAAAGGAGTCCATAAGTATTTTGTTTCACTTTTCTTATATGGCTCCTTGATGAATGTCTTTGCCTAAGTTAGAGTACAATGAGCCAGAGGTAGAGTCCCAAGAAAAGCATCTAATGCCTCAGGGCTCCATTAAAAACCTTTATTCTTCTAAACAAAAGGAAAGCCTAGCCTAAAATTTTCTGTATGACACTGAAGTAAAGCCTCTTTGCTTGAACATTATGGCATTCCCAAGCGCATTTGGCATTAACCTAGATTGAGTCTGTGCTTGTTGAACCGTCTTAGTTCTCCTCCCCTTCAGATTCTGATTCTAGAAGAGAAGAAAGGTATTTCATGTGGGTTGCACAAGAATAGTGATGCAGTTCTATAAAAAAAAATAACCAAATATCCTTCCAAAATTCAAATGAAAGTTTTCATCACATCTAGTACCTCGTAGGGAAAGTTAACAGATCACAGGATAAGTCAAAGAAGAGTAAGATTCAGACAGTCAGGTTCTACACTGTTAGACTCTATAGGGTAGTTATTGATTGTTACAAGTTATCAGTTACTGTGAGTTTCACTGGTTAATGTTCATGCATTCTTTCCAATTTAGGATTCCTATTTCATGATTCTTCAATTCTAACTCATCTGAGACACAACCAATGACTATCTGAGCAGAATTTAATGAAGAATTAGCATCATTTTCTCACTCTTTTAATCTCTGCAAGTAAACTGTCTTTTAACTATTTGCTCTGCTAATATCAGTCATTATCATCACACAACGTATTAGTCTACAGCAGGAGATACAGATTTCCTGCTGTACAGATTCCTTATGTAATACAGCATTAAAAGCAACTTATAAGTATGAACACTGTTTTTGTCACCTAAAGCTACTTTGCATCATATTGTATTTCTGTGCATTCACCTGACAGGAAAGGGCCTGTAGACACAAACATAATATGTCAGATCAGATTTCTCAAAGCAAATATGATCTACATGTTTTAAGTACAACACTTTGTTTTTAGTAGTACTGGGCTTTGCAATTAAGTACATCTGTGAGATGAGCTAGGTAAAAAAGGGTAAAAATAAAGAGGAACAGAAAGACACACAAAAAGAAGGGGGAAAAATGCTTAATTTGACCAAGACTGGTAGTCCAAAGTATGAAAGGAGCTACTATTTTTGTATTTCTACACGTATATGTGAATTAGTCTTACCTGCCCCTTACAATTACTATGTATTCCCACTACGATTCTACTAGAATCTACATCAAATGGATGCAAATGAACACTAATAACTATATCCCCATCTACTACTCATGGATGGATTATTCCAACTGATGTAGATTTCCTTTTCAAGGCAAGATGATAGCCTATTTGTACAGTACAAAGAAAAACAGTTATGGACCAGAGAAAGCAGTTACTCTCCCCAATAACTGCTTTAAGGCAGTAAACACAGATCATATATCTTAGCCTGAGCTTTAAGATAGAAGCAATTTCAACTGCAGGGGCATGGGCAAACTTCTGTTCGTGCAGTCAGTGATAACAGCAAGACTGGTATCGATAGAGAAGAGTGCTAGCCGTAGTGACACACATCAGCACATTCCACATTTGCACGGTCATTTGGTTACGTAGATATGGCTAAATATTCTTTCCTTCCTGCAGAAGCTTTAAGAATATACCTACTGACAACCAGTGGTGATGATTTAAGGAGTTATAATAACAACTTGAATTAACAGGCAGCAAATGTTGTTAGGCTTCAGCATGACTGCAAACAACATGGAGGAGACATGTCTGCTGCTTTCCATTCCAAGTCTGCATACTTCATATCCTAACACAACTCAAATCTGGAAAAAAGCTCACATTTGATTTGCCAGGAGACTACCATATTTCTTTAGACATAGCCATACCTTCTTCAGCATTTTGCAGCCACTCAACAAACTTCTTCATCTGGTCAAGAAAGACGCTTTTGCCTTTAGCAACATGTGCTTCTTTATACCACTTGAGAATTGCTTCTTCACTCAGAACATCAGCTGAAATAGAGATAAGTGTTTGTACAGTCAGTGTCTATTTTGGAGGTTAGAAGACAGTGAAAGAACGATACTGACTGTTGGTTTGAGTTTTTTTTGTTGATTTTGTTTGGTTTTGTTTTCCAAAGGCAGCACAAAAATAAGTTGGTATGATCACAATGGAACAAGCTTTGCATTAACTACATTAGGTTTCAACTACAGAGTATTTGATGGACATTAGGGATTCCAAATGCAGCAAAATGTGTTAGACTTAAAATCAAGTATCAGATATTATGCTTCCGTAAAGGAAAATTCTGTGCTCATCTGCTTTAAGTGCACGACAGAAGACAGTTGATTAGAAATGCCAGAAATCAGCCTGCACATATTAGAAGTCACCACAAGAATACAATCTTTTTTCTTGCTGTTGGATCACAGAATTGTGCACAGTTTTACAAATCTGAAGTAATGGACACCACTTGGTTGCAAAATTTAGAGAACTAATAGGGATTTCTGACATCATTATCACCTAAAGCTTTATAAAACGCATTAATCAAAAAGAGTCAGACCACCATTCATTCAGACTGCCCATTTTAAGGAACTGCTCAGATGGACAGCACAGTTGACATTTTTGTCAAGTATCAACAACATAACTGTCAATGAGGGAACGTGAGACTGAATAAAATTCAAAACAAAGAAATCCTAACAAACAGCAAGGACACTTATTGTTTCCAACAGATGTAAATTTAGGTCTAGCAACAGACCTCTAGCCTCGAGAACAAAGCTTCTGTGATCCAGCCAAGCAGCCAAATATCTCAGTAATTTATGGCTGCGGAGACAAAATCTGGGATCCACAATGGCATTTTGGCAGTTACATAATGCAGGGGGGAAAGAACAAAAAAAAAAAAAAAAAATCAAACTGTATTTGTTCTATAAAAAGACTAAAGACAGCTTTCTGCATCTCATTAAAATTTCCATTCTTCTTGTCTTTGAAGAAAATTACCCTTCCTTGCTCTGCAAAATCAATACATTTATTTTGAATACTTTCCTGCTTCCTCAAACTCTTTGGTATCATCCCACCAATGTGGCATTCATTTGCTTAAATGCAGACCCTGACCACCAACTTTTTCTGTAACCTACAGGTTACAACAGATGTTGCAGCGAAGATAATGTGGGAAACTGAAATAAATGACACCAAAACTCCAAAGCATCTGACTGAATTGGACTGAGAGTAGTAGTATTCAATAGCACATATGCTGTTGAATAACAAACAGATGGAAGCAACCTGGGATACATTTGAATTTCATCAAAACTACCCTAAGACATCCCACAATAACTGAATACAAAACACCTCCCTGAAAATCTGGATTTCAGTCAGTGCATGGAACTCTAAGTTACCTCATCTCTCAGACACTTCTCCAAAATAAAATCTCTTCTGCAGTTTGCTGTAATTGACTATAAGCTGAAAATACAGGGAAAGCAAGACTGCACTAGCTGTGTGTTGTTTTTCACTACATCAACAGTGCACTTAGAGAACTCTACCAGTGACACAAAGCTGTATCTTTCTGAAATCCCGACATGCCACGATGAAGTTTTCCTCAACATTAAAAGAAACAGAGGAACTACGAAAGGTTTTTACTTTGCATCGAATACTTGCCAGCCATCTTTAACAGCATCTCAAAAGCATTATGGCATTTAAGAAAGCCAGATTTTCACTGAGCAAGCTTAGAATGCATTTCACAAGGACGCCTGTGAAGCTGGAACTTAATCCCTCTATGTAAATCCTTTTCTTGATTTACAGCCTATGAGCTTTAAGGGTATGTTGCCAAAGAGGAAGAGGAAAACTTACCTCTTCCCCCTGCTCAAACCCAATCTGATAATAGCAGCATACAACCTTCTAATGTGCCTTGAGGATTAAAACCATCTCAGTCATGTGGATGAAGAATTTGCCTGTATATTACAACTCCATAGCAATGAGCCTCCTACACTAACAGAGGAGAAAGCTTTCAATTACAAAAAGGGCAAATGCAATTCTCCTTTCGTTACTGAGCAGTATTACCTGAACTACATTCATGCCTCCAGTGCTCAAATAGATAGTGTTCTCCCGTCAGCACTAAGATGCTCAAGTAAACAATCAAGCAACAAGGTGAGTTAATCATACCTCTAGGTTGTTATGAAGCAATAGGAACACTGAGGGGGATGGAAGGTGGAAGGGACTGATTTTATATTTGTTATTTCTTACTAAACTTGAATATAAATAGATTTTTAACAGCTGAACTTGAACTCCTGTGGTTTGTGGGCATGTGCACATCAGTTTCACTGCAGTCCTAGGTGATATCAGCTCCAAAGAGCTTGTTCTCCTGCACATGCAGCCAAATGCCACATCCATTGCCAAAGCCTTCAGGCACAGCCATCTTGAAAGGCACAGTTGCAGAGCAGAGACTCAAGAGAGCCCAGAAGTAAAGTGGAACGTTACTTGAAGTTTAGGTCATGACTTTGGACTAAATCACCCAATGTGAATGCACTTCTGTTTTTAACTATATAGCTGCATGCTTTCAGCTGCCAATACAATTTCACAAATTTCAGCCCAACTCTACTGCAGATAACTCAGCTGGCAGGACAGTCTTAAAGCAAGAGCTCTTTCAGTACAAGAAATGTCACCCGCTGTACAGTTATGGTCTTTTTTTTTTCCCCCCAGGAAAATTTTGTACTTGGCATTAAAAAATGATATTTGAATAATGAAGATTAAAGATAATTTTATTCCAAAAAAAAAAAAAAAAAAAACCTACCAAAGCCTGCCTGTCAAGTGGAACTTGAATATTCAGTTCTTTTAAGTGCAAGATTCCTACTATTCAAGATGACAGTCTACGTATTTTATGATGGAAAATTGGAAGGTTTGAAATGGAAGATATTGAATGCACTCTTAAGAATAGTCACAGAACTAAGTTTGTCAAAGCATGGGTGGCATTTAGTGCCTAACATCACTGATGATCATCTTTATGCCCAGGAAACACTCACTCGTGATGAGAAATAGGCAATAAACTGTCTACATGCTTGCTGGTAAATAGCTGCACTTCTGCTATCTATCCACAGATTCTCCAGATGACTCCATTTGTCACTAGAAAAAAAGTCACAAGGTACTCTGAAACCTCTCCAGATCCTACACAAGTCACCGTTGAAGCAGAACAGGAAGGGCAACACAAGCATCTGCTGTTCCCTCACTGCCAACATAACTATTAATAGTCAAGGAAGCCCCTAAAAGCTAACATGAAACACAAGATATGCTATCATCAGCAAAGAATCTATGGTAAAGCATGTGTCTCTAAAGGATCTGGATGGCTTGTTTCTAGTCGGTAGGTTGGATCTGGAAGAAGGAAAGGGTGAGAATCACCAGCATCAGAATGAAGCAGAGGCAGGCTTCAGTCCCCATTTCTGACTGATATCTTCCTTACAGCTCTCAACAAACCAATCATGAGCAGCTAAAGCAAGATAAATGGGGAGAAATAAGAATGGGATGACTAGTGTTCCCAGAATCTTTCCTGGTTAATTCAGAAGTACGTCCTGACCTAAAGGACACAGCTTACTTGATTCTAAAGTTGCCCTAAAACAGATAGAGCTGATGACTTTCGTACTCTATCCAGGCTCAGAGAGATCCCACTGCTATTGGCTGTAACATCAAGCTTGCAATTGCTAGTAGGCAACAGTATATCTACCAATCAACAGATAAAACAGCCTTAAAAAACTTACAAGACAATTCTGAAAGGAGTGCTATACGAAATTATTTGTTTCAACCATCACTCACTGTTCAAATGCACAGCTGCTGCAGTGCTCATTTGCCAAACACAAAGTAAGTTCTCTTTTCCAAAGAGAGCTCAATATTAAGTACTTGCAGCAAGTTGTACTCGATCACTGAGGCCACAGGATATTGACGTAAGGATTGAAATAAACCTCTCCTTCACTTGCTACACCTTCTGAAGCCATCAAATTATTTTAACAGTCTGAACTTGTTTGCCTTGAATGTGTACTGGACACAACAGAGTGAACTAAGATCAATACTGGGCTGCTACTCCTGCTGATTTTTCTCCTTCAACTATTTATAGCAAGAATGTCAGAACAGACTGTTCAGCACTCACCCATTATACACAGTACAAGATCATTAGACTCTGACAACCTGATCTGAATAGACTTGCTAAGAAAGTCAATTTCACAATTAAAAGAAATAAATCCCTCGCTATGACGCCTGCAAGAAGAAAATGGAAAGAAGAAAAAGCATAAGGAAAGCTATATCCTGGCAGAGGGAATAAAAAAATCTGAAACATCTTCCTGCAAAGAGGATTTTACTCCTCCTAAATTTCTTAAAACCAAGCTTCAATATTTTTATGCCTTATTTTATTTTATTATTAGTTTTACAGCTGCCAGAAATTGAATTTTTTTTCATAGTCCTAGTTTTCTATTAGGACAAAAGCCCACTCAGACTGCAGACACCGCTGAGATCCTGCTCATGCTACTTGACTGCAAGAAAAATGCAACAGAGAAAGAAAGGCTTGATTTGACTTCTCCTGCTGCCACAGGCACCTTTGAACTAAGAAAGCCTACAGTATTTCAGAGTTCAACATAATCATTGAGCATGCAGTTACCTACAGAATACCATTTCCTTTTACATCACAGGTGAGCAGCATAAAGAGCAACCATGCCACTGGATAATAACTTATGAGTTAAAAATTAAGATCTATCTACAAAGGAGATACTCAAGGGATCTCTTTCTGACTAACTGCTTCTAACAGTTCAGTCCTGCCTGTAATGCATGTCCATAGTGTGCTTAATAACTTAGTTCAATGTGGTCAAGTCAGTGCCAGGTCCAATGTCCATGAAATGTACATAGCAGCAGATATATACTTTTACCTTTATAAAAGAGTACCACTATCTTCTGAAAGGCTTTCATGAAGTGGATGTTGTCATAACAGTACTCCTGCACTTTCTGGAGAAGGATTAACTCCGACTGGCCTTGAGTGCTGAAGACAGCAAGCAGGGGGGCATATTGCTGAAAAGAGGACAAGGTAAGACAAAATGCATGTTATGTTTAAGGCAACACGAAAATCATTTTTCAGATTTGAAGGGAAGATAGTGATCTTCAGATCCACCGACCAAATATATGTTAACAGTACTATGTAAAGTGTTCTTACACTGATCAGATTAGTCTTTCTTTGTTTTCAGCTGAGAAATGCCAAACTTTCCTTCTGGATTTGCAATAGCTTGATATAATGGGGCAGACCTGTGATACTAGGGCTCCCAACAGATGTGACTACAACATAGCTAACACAACAGATTGAGTTCTTCCATTTCAGGCAGGTATATGCACATTTTCAGAAACAATTTAATATTTTGGAAAAAACATGATGAAATTCATGGAGGCTTTAGGCAACACTCTTCCTTTTCCCCTTTTGGCTCTTTACTCATCCAGCTGTTAGTTGATCAACTTGTAGGGAGGCAGGGCAATACACACTGCAGTTTATGTCCATTTAATAGCAGCAGCAGAGCCCGATTCCATCCACAGATCTGTGATCTGCAACTGCCTGTAACTGTTAAGAAATGTATTTAAAAAAACTCCTAACTTTCCAGTTTAGAAAGAAGAATTCTTCATATTGCCACATTTGATTGACTTGCTTCACGTTCCTTTCTAACTCAATAACTGGTATAGACGTGCAATTGAAAGTCTCAGTAGTGCCCAAATAACTAAAGTAAAAATAAATAAAATTATATTCCTCTTATTATTGGAAGATAATGCAGCTTTCCTTGAGGCAAATGGCTAAGTTATGTTGCAATGGGTCAGCAGCTTCAGTGTCACAATGCTGAGACCACAATTGTGTCTGTAGTCTGAAACTGTCTAGAGAACTCTCCCATCCACGAGAACGTCTTTTCTCCAAATCAGAAGTGGCCTAGGGGTTAACAATATTTATACTAGGCCTGCAATGTTTCTCCTCCCAGTATTCAAATATTCCAATGACATTTGTAATTTGCCCTGCAGTACTAGACAGCAATCAATAGATACCTTCTTACAGCTCAAGATCCATCATTACATCAAAAGAACAAAAGAATATCTCCCTTCTGCAAACTCTTATTCTTTCTACTATTACTTGAGTCACTGTAGCTGGAAAAGACTACAAGGCATTCAATTTTACCATTAAAGACCTACACAAGATCTCAAGTGACTACATTTCTAGCATGACTGTTGCTCTTGAAAAACCAAATTCATATGAAAGGACATGAAACGCACGGGCCAAACCAACATGGGAACATGGTTCAGATGTAGAAATCCATCAGTACAAAGAGGAGGAATTCTGCCAAGCTTAAGATCCACGCTGCCATAAAAATAAAGGTACTGATTGCTCTGATTGTTTCTGTCTTTGGGTAAACATTTGCAGTTCTGGATATGAAGGAGCATTCTTTCGCTCATAGCTTAACAGCTTAAATGGACTAAATCTGCTGAATATCTTCTCTTCCCTTGTTCTGATTTCAAGTCTCTTGCACTGCACAATTCTTTCAGATTTGACTAAAGAACCATGAATACAGAGTAATCAGTCACTGCTGTAGTTCCACACCCACCTCCCTTGGGAATAAGAGCTTTTATATCAATAAATAACTGATATTGCAATCTGTTATCTGGCTTTCTGTGCATTCAGTTCTCCTATCCAGAGTGCCTCACTTAAAGAATAACCATGCTATACAGTGCAGAAACTCTCAAGTCAGTTCCTGTCTTATTAGTTTAGAAGTAGCTACCCAGCTCCCAGGATCAACACCAGCAAGACACATTTCATAGGTTCTGAACTCAGCAGCCCTGCATGGATCTAACCAGCTTTGTGCAAAGACAGGTGTCTCTTCACCATGCTCCCAAAATATCTTTCCTTCCGGCAAAGACATTGCAAAGATAATTCCAGTAGGCATACTAATCAGGTCAGTGCAGCTCAGAGTCTCAGCAACTGTTTAGAACCAAGCCCTAGGCAGAGCCTCAGCACACTGAGAACACAATGCAGAGGCACTCGAGTTACAACCACCTCAGTTTGCCCTGGTTCCCTACACCTAGGAGACAGAGTACAGCAACTCATAATTTGAACAACCTCATTTTTGCATTACTGCAACTGAAGAAGGGACATGACACTCCCTTGTGTGGTATCAGTTAGCCCTGAGGACCAAATTTCCTGGATTTAAACAGTTAAAACTTGGCAGCTATAGAATGTATTCTGTTATTTCTCAGCGAGCCTTTCCCCTCTTCATTCATGCACACACCTTTAGATGTTTGAGGGCTTGCTCTGCAACCAGCTCTTCTTTCTTGTTCCATTCCACAGCATTCATTACACAGGTCCACAGGAGACCAATCACTGCTGGCTCAGGCAGCTCATTTCTTTTCATTTCCTCTTTTACATAAAGCACCATCTGAAGCATAAAATACAGTTTAGCAACATTTCCAGTCAACCAGTAGAAACTCTGCCTTATTAAGTACTTGCAGCCATTTACAGGCAGCATATTGGTATAGAAATAACAAGAATCAAATTTAGAACAAGAATAAAAATGAAGCACTTAGAATGCCTATGTTTAGCAACATTCCTATGGAGTATAAGTTTCCTCCTTCCTGCCCAAGCTGACAGTTAAGAGTTACATGAACTACTTTCTCATCTAGCAGAACTAAACATAAAAACATAGCTAACTGCATTTGTAAACCCACAGGGTGTTTTCTTGCCATTGTCTGTTGAAACCACTGACTGAGTTTATCAATAAATTAAAATAATTTAAAGACAAATAGAAGTAGACTTTGAGGTATCCACGTCTGTTCCTCTCTACTTACTGTGTATTTTCATCTTGGACTATGTTTATATGAATAGAAGTTGTAAAACACTCTTTACCTCCTTAATTGGGCATTCCTGAGAGAGACGTTCTTGTAGCTCTTTTTGAAGTTCTTTACGAGTCCCCAGTGACTGCTGAACTCTAAGAAAATCTGAGAGCTCTTTTAGACCTGCTTCAGTGAAATACTTGGCAAAATGATCCACATTCTGCCGGTTGGCAGGAAATAGTTCCTAGAAGTACAGGAATACTCTGTGTTAAATAAACCACGAATGAGGGCTCTTGACAAAATGGAAGGAACGATTTCAAACAGTGAACACTGTATCACCAGTTACTGTTCTATTAGCAGTAGAAAAGTCAACACTCCATTCACATGATTGTATCGTTATAGCAGAGGAAAGAAATTATGGTCAGTTATGCAAAAAAAAAAAAAAAAAACAAAAAACCAACAGAACACAACAACCCAATACCTGTTCTACATTAAGGGCACCTACTTACAAAGAGCCATCAGCTTAAGATATTGAGCATTTTCCAAACTCTGTGAGTCTTGGGAAGCAAAAATGAATAATGAAAAAGCCATTATATGCTAAGCATGTTTACTGTGTCCTCCCAGGAATTACACACGTTCACTCTCAGAAATACTTAACTGGCCCAGGCACGCTAGCTTAAACATTGCTATTCTGCTGAGCAATGACTACCATTAATGCATCACTATCTCTGTTAGGTACACTGCTAACATTACCTCACCTACACATTTCTGGCTCAAAGAAACTGCGTATGTATGATTTGTTAAGTCCAGCTACTTTGAAAAATTAAAATGTTGCTTAAAAACTGCTAGAGCATGCCCCTATCTTGACAAGGATTCAAAGGTATTTGCTTACATTGTAACTCTTGTGGAATGAACAGTAGTCCGTTTTTCCTCCCCCTGCAGGGGACTAGAGACCCTGTATCTATTTGTTTACTGAAAAACAGATTAAGAGGAAACTTCCTCAAGGCATCTATGCTAGGCAACAGCAACTGACACTTGACAGTTCTTTAATACAGCAGTGTAATGAGAGCCAACAGCTGAATGCTTTACTCAGTAAATTTCAAAATAGAAATAAGACAATTGGCTTTTCTCCTTCCTCTCTAATAAATGGTGTAATTTAGCTCATTTTCCAGCTTCGCTGCAATTTATTTATCATTTAGACTGAAAATTAGATACAAACTGAAGAGAGGAAGGGGTGTGGGAGGCTGCTTTGCTTTTGAAAGATTCTTACTTAATCATACAGTACTGCCATAGAAGCAGGAAATAGTGCTGAAATTCTCTAGACAGTACTACACAGGATACAGCACGTCTGACTGGGTTATCACAGCAACCTTTTTGAAGATTAGAACTACTGATCTTCAGAAACACACTAGCAGGGAAAGGCACACGACATTGCTCCATATTACACTCTAAACACCACAGGCTGCTGCTACAAACCCAGAATGCAGGTTTTGAGACAGAAGGCTGGAAAGCTTTCCCTGTGCTGCTTCCACTAGTTCTGCTGTCAGCACTGCAGGACCATTTATGCTACCCAGAGGGCTGCTGCTGTGCAAGACTGGCTTACTCTGCTGCCTTTATACTATTCAAACACCGTCACCTGAGAAAGCTATATATGAATCATTTTTTGGTTAAACAAGCCTCTTACATATTGTTTCCTATTTACAATGGTGGAAAAAACATCACAAAAAGAAAAGAAAAAACCTTTATGCAGTTGCTGGCGATATTGTCAGCAGTGGTTAGAAAGAAACAACTCCCAAGCCCCCCCACAGTCAGCCTTTCAGAAGGCATTTAACTACAGGAAAAACAGACAAAAGGTGGATATGCAGTATTTAATGCACTGAAACACCTTCAGGAGCAACACAGCCATAACAACATTGCCGCGATTCAAAACACTTTGAAAATGCGAAGGTAGTCTAAGGGGAGTAAACATGCTTACTGCAAATTATCATCTGCATTTTATTTCCCTCCCTTCCTCAATAGGAGAAAAAGATGAATGAAAAGATATTATACTTACTAGCAATCTCTTATCAAGGTTGGCTTTTCTTAAAGCAGAGGTAACAGAATTGGCATCTTTCTCTGCCATCCACGCTTTAAAAAGTTTTACAGCAAAAGAAGCTGCAATCCCTGTTTGAGAAAGTACAAAACATATTTCAGCAACTTTCAACACAAATGAGAAATTGCTACAGCAATCCATTATGGGATGAAAATACACTTCTGACAACAGGACTAAACATGTGGAACTGAACTGAAGTGCACTTTTTCTTTAATGCAGTACTAATTTTCTGAGTATGTTGCACTGCCTTAAAAGCTTTTTTTTTTTTTTACCTATTCACATTTAACTGTGGAAAGACTTTGCCTGTAATTAATTTCTCTACCTCTGCATCTTACAAACGATGTCTAAAAAACCAGAAAATTTTCTGTATTAAATCAGCTAGGAAATGAAGGCATGTAATAATAAAGGACAGGCAGGAGTAAGAAACAACTTCACAACTTCAAGGCAGCTGATTGCACCTGTACATTTTCCCACACAGTATTTAATAGCTGGTAGGACCAGGTAACAAATACTATTTTACAGAAGAAAAATCCCTTCCTCAAGGCACAACTTAACATTTTCTGTAAAAAGTCAGAAGAAAACCCACCACCACATCTTCATTTCCACAACCTGTAGTTTTGCCAGAGGAACCTAAGCTAAGCACCAGCCCTACACCTCTTGCCTCTTTTCAACGTGCATTTCTCATGCACCTCCACAGCTCTGCTCCAGCTTCTCAGCCAGTTGAAAGGGAGCTGCAGTGCTGGGAGCTGGAGACACAGTTCTCTCTTAATGATGTAGTCTCCTGCAGGCCAGTTATGCTTCTCCATACTACATTCACATCAACACTTAGAGCACTACTGAGAGCAGCCCAGATCATTTTTTGTTTTGCCTCCAAAAAGTCCTGAAATTCTATGAGCTGCACAGCTCCTCCTGATACAAAGTAGCTTAGTCACTCTTACCCGCTTAACTGATAACCATTCTTTTTATTCTTAGGATACACTGACTAAATGAGTCACCAAACAAAAATGGAATTGATTAATCCCCAGGCAGCACTAACTTCGTTAACATTCATTACAGATCTTGACTGTTATGACAGTTTTGCCAACCTTATTTCAAGAGCTCAGTAGTGAGGCACGATCCTTGGAGAAGTACTAATGCAACTCTGACGTGCGATGACATTAAAGAACAGCTGAAAATGCCACTTTGGCTCATTCACATATTGTGCAGAAGGTTCTAAATGAAATGAGCATGACTGCAAAAGCTACGAGCAACTAGTAAAGATTGACAAAGCCTGTTTGACTACAAGGGAACCTAAGAATAACGTTCACCTGTAATTCTAACCTGCAAACACCATTCAGCCTATCTGAAATGAGCATCTGCATTCTACAGCTGTGGGCAAACTTGATGAAGACAAAGGCATTTGTAGCTAGAAATCATTATCCACAGCCTATATGTACTACACAGTACTTGTACAGCTGTGATTATATAACCTATTCGTATCAGAGGGCAGATAATGCAAACAAAATGCCCCCACAGCAGCACCTCTCAGCAAGTAGTGCCTGGTAGCACACATATTGAACTTCGGCTTGAAACACTTACTAGATGTCAGTAATATCCACACTACAGCTTTTTAGGTCACATGCTACTTTCTTATGAAAGGATGCACGGAACAGCAAAGGAGTCCAACCAGCTGCGGAAGAGCACGCCAGTAACAGAAAAGCACTCATTCTCAGACCACT